ATTACTCATGCTTTTGATGAATCTGAGTGATCTTATCATTGCAGGTGACTGACTATACTGCTGGTGATAAAGCAATTATTTACGTAGCTCGTCAACCCCACAAACATCCATCATTTTTCGGAAACTAACATGGTCTAGCGGCCGAATAAGCTCAGATAACTAATACCTTTGTTGAAGTTGCACGATAGTTGTTTACGCTATCAGGACTTTGCATGAACAACTATCATGCTTTGGATGTTGAGATATTCTAGCGGTTGCAATTCTTACGTCCATTGTTACGTCTATGGCATTGAAAGAGAAGCACCAACACCCATTATGCACAAACACCGACCATCCCAGAAAGCTCGGAAAGATTAGCGGTCTAAGCAATCTCGATGGCAACGACGAAATCGCAAACTAAATAGTATTTTTTGTCGCCATCTAGATAACAACTTTAGCGGCTCTTCATTTTTACCCTGATCAATCTTATCAGCCCTTATCAGGTGTTATCGCTTTTTGTCCCCCACCCAGTATGTTCCCGTCCCACCCCCTGTACCATATCTTGAAATCAACTCCTGACGACTTCTGCTACCTCTTTATTACTGGCTGACCGTTTTATGGTGGACTGGTTTGTTCCAGTACCTACTATTCAGTCTCACAAACTTCAAAGGTAGCTCATACTGTGGTGAATTATTGTCGCAGATTCTTGGATGGAAGGATCCCAATTGACATCGGAGTGGGTCCTGTCAAGTGAAGAGTAGTTGTCCAGGTGGGGTAGTATGATTCACTGAGAGTATTTTGGTACACTTGTTCCACACCCCTTCCCCTCCCCTCGATGCCATCTTAATGGACATTGTTAGGGCAGACTAACGTGCACTTTCAGATAGGAGCGGAAGCTGGCAATGGGTTCAGGGGCCCGAACTTGGGAGTCGTTTAGTCAAATTTCCTTCAGAGGAAGCGATCACATTGGCTTCCACGTGAATTTGCTACCCTCGCGTTATCAATCGATAAGGTGTGAGGCAGTAATTGTTGGACGAGTGTAAGCCCATGGAAGATATGATACGATGAGATAAGAAGGTGCGGCTGCTTGATAAGAGGTGCACTCCAGAATGAAAACGGGACGATAACGATATACATCATAGTACGCTCCATTCACCCCTTTCCACATCGATAAGTCTTTGTTTTTGCTACCCGGAAGTGGATTTCGGCGCCTTATCACTCCGTTGATAAGGCGCCACTGCCACTGAAACTTCACGTGTTGTAACATTGGGCAGGACCCCTATCCACTCCAGTACATAGCTTCCTTATCGTCCTCATGGGAATTACCGTGATCACTTCCATTAACACGTGGCTCAGGCTGGTGTGACGTACATAACAAGAATTGCTAGCATACTACCCTTTATATTCGGCGCCGATGTGCCGGAGGGGAGGGAGCTTCTTGACTCTGATGAAATATGGAGAGTGGCTGCTGCGAATTGTTCATTTTTGTTGCCTTTAAATTCCATATAAGGCTGAATGTGTGCAAACAACATCTTAAGATACTCCTGAAGTTGGATTCCGACAGTTTTAGTACTTGCGAATCGTATACACACTTGCAAATGTTTCACTAAAAAACTTGCAGAGAAGCAAAAGAAAATAAGCTTTGCGAACACATGGGCTAACAGCATTAGCACTGCGCGAAGAGCACTTGTGGGCTACCTCTGAACGAAAAGTTCCTGAAATCCTTCCAGTTGTTATGGTTTTGACCCATTCGATAATTGTTTTCATTGTAAGTGTCGGTGCAACTTGGCGAACTTTTTTCAGATTTTCTTCAGCAAATCAGGAATTTGTTTTCGAAAAAGATAGAACTATGACTAGTACCGCGGGAGAGTCGACAGGACCCGTTGTTTCGGATGAGGTAAAGTGGCTGTATAATATATACATTGTCCCCTTGAGGTGTAAAGATATAAAGATAGAGTGGTTATAATTGGAGTCAGTCTAGGAGTTTAGATTTACTACGTTTCAGAACTTACCTATCGGTTTGAGGAACCTCGAAGTTGAGCACTTTGTGTCTCCTAGTGCACAATCCAAACAAGGTCCACTTAGTGCATCTGGACACGAAAACGTTAAGGTATGTAGTTATTGAGATGTTGTATAGAAAGCGTTTAAGTTTTCTAGGAGTTTTTCGCCGTACCTTGGTTTGGATGCCGTGGGAAATCTTATCGTGGTTTCTTATCATAAAGAGTTCTCGCGGCTACCACCGGAATTCTTTTCCTGTGTGGGCTACACTCCTCCCTCTGCTCAGTACCGCTTGCGAAGTCAACACCTTTAGTGGGTCCATACATGCGAGGTGACAGCGCTATAGGAGACAAGTCACGACTGTACAACATCACTCCCTCACGCCCTTTAGCTTCTTGTGGAATTTCCGAAAATGCGCTGAATGGTCTCATCACATAAACCACATGCTTTATGCATGTTGGTCGGTATGTATGCAAAATGAAAGTGGAAGCGTGGTTCACTTGGGCAGAATGTGACTTTTTCGCGTTTCACAATCGGAACGCAAAAAATTCGCTTTCTGTCCTTGTGAACCACACCCTGAAAGTGTAAAGCAGGTATTCGAAGGAAGCGATCGCGCTGGCTTTCAAGTGCATCTGCTACCTTTGGGTTATCAACCGATAAGGTCTGAGATACAGTCGATATCCGAAAGTTGGGGTAGGCGTGTCACCGGAAGTGACGTGCACTTGATAGAAGTTGCGTGGATAAGCTGTTGCCAGCATGCTTTGCTGATATCCAGCGATGTATGTTGTTGGAAGCAGCTTATCCACATAGTTCTATCAAGTGCACGTCACTTCCGGTGACACGCCTACCCCAACTCTCGGATATCGAGTGTAGTAATTGTTGGACGAGTGTGACCCTACAGAAGATTCGTTACGATAAGATAAGAAGCTACGGCTGCTTGAAACGAAATGCACTCTAGAATGAAATTGGACGATAACTATAACGCTGTCATAACTGAAACGCTATCTATTGTATCATTGGGCAAGGACCCCTATCCCTCTAGTACGTAGCGATCCTTATAGTCTTCATGGGAATGGTCGTGTCCACTTCCTTTAAAATGTTTACGACCTGGTATTTTGCGACCGCTTTCTGGTGAGACGGGCTCGATTTTGCCCCTCCTCTCCTCACGTGATTTTGCCCCTCCTCTCCTCACGTGTGTAGGTATGGTGTAGTAAATGAGCAAAAGCATAAATACGGCAAGGCAATTTTGTATCCATGAGAAATTGGTTATTCTTATTCCACAAATATGCTAACAGTGATGGCAAACGATTGACCGCCGATTAATAGCTGGCAGCCTACATGGGCTGCCACCGTCGTGAGCAGGATAAGGAACAGTGGCTTAATGTCACATCTTTGATTTACTCGCGTTAAAAGTAGTGAAGAAGTGTTGTTATAATTCTTGCCCAAGCTCCGGATAAAATAGAGTAGATCGTGAATTATTTATTTATTTATCTATTATTTTGCACAATACGTGCGCACAACAATAATGTTGTAACCGATGTATAAATGGTCGAATTAGGACGTTTTTTTCTTCTTTTATCGCTTCTAACGTTTTTTTACAGCCATATCAAAGTTATAGCTAGTTAGTAAAAATGATATTATGCTATATCTTTCTTTGCAGCTCAGTATATCTCCGGGAACAAAAGCCAGTGTCAGTAAGCGCGACGCCAAGTTACGAAAGCTACAAGAAATGCAACAGCAGAGGGAGACCACCAAAGGTATTTAACTTCCCACTGACCACGGAAGGTTATTAGGTCAGCCTGGTCAAATGAAACGCTCTGTACATTCCTATACGCATCTTGAGATGCTGAGCTTGAATCTAATTTCATTTTCTGATAAACGTCTGTAAAAAGTTATGGAGGGTTTTCTCCTCCCTTACTAATTGCTTGCAGAGCTTACTGTTTTTTTTTTCGACATATTAAAAAAGCTTTTGAATATGTTACCTCAAATGGTTTGGTAGCCGCACCATGTATAGTTGCAGGCAATTGCTCCTTAGTTTAAGCATCACTTGTCTATGGATGCCAATGGTGCCTGCAGTGGAGGGTCAGACTGGCTATCCCCAGAGTTTCTAGACAAACCTGGGATTTTTGACCTAATTGAGAAAACGAGGAGCAGTCATGGGCTTTGAGCTGACCAACAATTCACGACAAGGTGACGAGGAGATAGAAGGGAATCGTACTTAAAGTGATGCTATTTAATTTCTAGAAAGGTCCGGACAAGCAGGCCCAACACTGGCCTTTTCTGGAGTGTCTTGAAAGGTTTATTCCAATGCTAGCTTTGATTATGGATTCGAGGATATGTGAGTGTTCACACACCCTATTTAGAATCATGCCCCGTCTTCTGAAGGGTCACCGTGAACTGGAGTAGCTTTGGCCATCAGCTGCTTCAACCAGTGTTGGTGAAAGGGCGCCACGTTTCTAATGTCTCCTTTGTGTGTTTCTCAACACACCCTGTGATGCATTGCATTATAGCAGTTCCTCCTACATATGTGTGCTAAAAATTCATTGAGCTAACCTTAAGTTTTGTACACCAATGTACAGCGGTGCGCTTTTCCATTTCACCACACGCCGAAAATCATTCAGCAGGTGACGTGGATTTGAGATCACCTTCCTGGATCAGTGGAACAATGTATACTCATTCGGAGCCGGGTTAACCTTGGCCTTTCCTGCTTGGTCTTTCCTGGTCATTTTGCTTGTAGAAGTATTAAAACATGTCGTTTATTTTAGCCAGAAAGTCCGGTCTTCCCTTGGTCCCTCCCAAGATCGATCTAGCTGGTACTGAGCGGTCATTTCTAGAGTCGAGTTTCAGGGAATGTGCGAAATTTCCTAGCAGTCAGGTAGCAGTCCGGAAAGTTCGGTTAAGCATAATAATAACAAAAGAACAAGAATTTCAACATTGTTTTCAGTTTTCTTACCTTGCGCCGGAGCCGAAATTTTCTGACATTTCATCAATACAACTTGGCGATGGTCCTGTTTCCACGAAAACGCCGTACAAACGATCAAAAAATGTTGGTGAGTGAGTTTGCTTCGACGTTGGAGTGTGGTCAGGTTTCCTTTCCTCTCGGATGTTTCTTCGAATCTCTTTGCCCCGCATTTGATGTAGTCGTTTTCTGTAGATTTTATATGATCATTTCCATATTTTCGCAATCTTTCAGTCTGTAGTAGCAGTGCTTTATCCTCCAACGGAAGCTATTCTTGTTCAGTGTGCTCTACACCGTTGCATTACAACTCTCCTGCAATGGGAGTTCCTGCTGCCATCCTGAAGTCTGTTGATAGTGATGTTTCCATTTCAAGGGCAGGTTTCCAACCTGCAACAGCCGTCAGTAGTATGGTCAAAGAGGTGATTGTTTTCATGCATTATTTGTTCTCATGTGAATATGATCGTAGTTGGCTCAGGATGAGCTTGCTTACTCGTATGACGGAGTTAGGCCCCGCTCCTGCTAACTGACTTCTCATCTTCCTAGGTTTTGACCGGTCATTGCTATCATAGGGTGTATCCTTTTG